AAGAGCAATCCTTTTGTTTGCACGCAGTTATCTTTAAGATTCCTTTTTGCCTTGTTGTTTGCTGGTTTTTGATGCCATTTTTTTTAGTGCTACGAAAATGTGTCTTTGGGATTTGCCAAACACAGAAGAAGACACAATTTTATTTTTCACAAGTAAACTATTTTACAAAAAAAAAAAAAAAAAAAAAAAAAAAAAAAAAAAAGAAGAGAGGGGGGGGGGCAGAAAATGTACCAGTTCGCTTGATATGAAACTTTATTTCGGTAAACATACGTTTCGGAAATGTAATTTAAGACAGCGTGATCAGCAAGTGGGACTTAGAAAAGACATCTGGTTTGAAGGAAGAAGAATTTCATTTTGTTCAGCTTTGAAATTCACATACTGCTGATGTGAGGAGTTGACGTCGATTAAATTTTGTGAAAAGCAACTTGATTTATCGGATAAAACTGTTATAGATTGGAACAATTCCATGCGTGAATTATGTGTCTTGGATATGGAGAATAAACCAAACAAAAAGGTCAGATTGCATTGTAGAAATTGATGAAAGTCTTTTTACTAAGCGTAAAAATAATTGTGGTTGAGGGTTACCCGAACAGTGGGTGTATGGTGGTATATGTAGAGAAACAAAAGATTCGTTTGTTGTCACTGTTCCTAATAGAACTGGCCCTACCCTTCTTAATAAAATTATGGAAAACACTGCAGATGGTAGCACAATTTATTCTGACAGTTGGAAAGGTTACAAAAAAAGTAGAATAGAAAAAGGATTTCTACATGCCAAAATTAATCATAAATACAATTTTATTGATCCTGATACAGGAGTTCATATGCAAACAGTTGACAGAATGTGGGGCAGTGCTAAATGGAGGTACAGGAAACATAGGGGGACAGCGAGACACCATTTAGAATCTTATTTAGCAGAGTTCATATGGCGAAAGCATCATGTCAAAGAAAATAGAGACTGTTTTGAATCTACTTTGATTTTAAATAAAGTGTTTTAATTTATGATTTGTCGAAAAAAATTAGGTGTAGGTTGACTGCACTTAAAATCTGCCAAATCTGCAGCTGCGGTGGCGTTAATACGTAAGTACTGAAAATTCATCTTGTTCAATTTAAGGTTGGAAATAAAATTATAATTAAGATTTTAAAGCTATGTGTTTAATACAGAGTAAAAGAAAAGTGGCAGAAGAAGAATGTATTTTCAAGATAATTGGGAATTTATATACTTTTGTCATGTACGAAATAAAATTACATGTTTTATTTGTAACTAGCCACTATGTGACATTTCTCCGGCTTTTAAATGTACCAGAAAAATGCCTAAAGGGAACACCAAACATTAAATTTAAAAACTGCACAGAATTTTACTCTGCAGAACCACTTTATAAGAAAATAAATAAAAATGTATTACATAAAAAAATTACAATGAAATAACCGATATTCCTTAACACAAATATTAATTATCCTAATAAATAAACCAACTTCCCGTTGTAAATCTTAAGAATTCAAATGGTATAAAGGATGTTAAGAACATTGTTTCCTAAAAACTTTTTATATAATTAAAACATAATATAAAAAAATTTACAACGAAATGAGGAATAAAATCACATATTTTCAAGAGAAAACAGCAATCCAGTATCCAAAGCAATGAATGAAAACTGTTGCCAAAACCACATTTCTAAAAGAATGAAACTATCATCAGAAAGCAATAACAAATCAAAATTGTGCTGCTTTGTGGATGACATAATTCAAAATATACAAACCTCTTTGCCATTAGCTAATAAGGAGAGAAAGGAGGAGGGAGAGGAAATTCTTTCTGTTGCGCCTCGCAAGAGATATGCATGTCAGAATAAGAAGATTGCGATGTGCGTGTTATGTGTACAATTAATAATATTTTATATCATATTTTGAACAGTCAGCAGTCCAGTATACAAAACACTGAATGAAAAACTGTTGCCAAAACCACATTTCTAAAAGAAAAACTATTCAAAATAATGCAGTTTCATCAAAAAAGATAAAATAAAAAACAATCTGATTCGAATTTTGAAAAAAATTGCTTTGAGGTGTACCGGCTCTTGTCTAGATGCACATATGCACCAAATCTCGTAGCCCTGGGTCTATTAGCTTACGTGCAGCATGAACAAAAGACACACAGGCAGACTCTTTCTTTTATTATACAGTACAAAGTCTGAAATCCGGTCTCGTCGGGACTTCGGCGATTCCGGATTTGGTAATAGAACATCAGTTTAAATACAGTAAGATGGCATCTAGAAATTATAAAATATTTATGATTTAAAGAGCATCAAAATTTACAAAAAAAGCTTAATATTTATTTGTTTACCTCATTAAACATTTCTTTCAATGTAAGTTGTTTTATATTGCTTCTTTTTTTGTGCTAATATCTTCCCTTTAATTCTGTAGACAGACATAATCTCTTGTTTAGTTACATTGTTGAAGTCCTGTAATTGCTGTTTCAAGAATTCTGATTAACTTGTCAATCGAAATTTTCTCGTTTTCAGTAACTTCTCTGTCCCTTTCTTCACTATCAGAAGTGGTATTTTCTGGACCTAGAACCAAACTACAGATTTTGCCATTCATAAACTGAGAAGTATTGTCATCACAATGAAAAACTTCTTTTATATCATCTTCATTTATTACTGCTTCTTCCAATTTCTTTACAAAATCCGTTAATTGGAAAATTTCACCTTTGTTTTGCGATATCCAAAAAACCTTTAAAATTAGCGGCTATCATCATCAAATTTAGCTATCCTTCACTATACATATTTGGCTACGCATCATGAGCTTGGAGACTAATGACAAGCTGTTCCGTCAAATTTTATCTTGCTTCTATCGTGCAATGACGCAATTAAGCCTGAATTGTATTAGTTATTTATTATACATACGTCTATTTCTTGCACATGCTTATGGCTTATCAGAGTTCTGAATAAATTCCCTCATATACTTAAGCCTTATTGAGAGCCGGCGCTAGATATCTAATCGCCTGATGGAGTCTCTGTGGGTTCTGCAACTCGCTGCGGCCATACGAGCCCTGGTGCTGGTTCTGGGTTTATGTGAATAACAAATCAGTTATTCTTAATTTAAATAGCCCTAAATGTAATCTTTGGGTCTATAATTATCATCAACAAAATATTTTAGCATATGGAAAGAAATTTTTGGTAAATTTTTCCTCGTCAACATTTTTTAGCGCGTTTAACTTAAATCTGTAATTGCCAAGAGTAATGTCAACATAAAAGGTTACTTTACTCCTTTATTATTCTATTACTAACATAAAAAATTGTTTAGGCATCGCTACACGAGTCACTACTCAAGTTGTCATGTTTTGATAAACGTGTGGTGATGAAAAGAAAGTATCATAATGATTCGCCAGGTTGTCAGATCAGATCTACATGGAATGTTTCGATTTGAGATGTGTGTCAAGCAGACACGCAGCAGCGGAACCAAATTACTGATTGTACAAATTTATGCTAAAATGATTGTTTTATTATGCGGAGGGGGGAATCAAATGCACATGCATAAAGCCTACGAGAAAAACTTTGCTGGTGGTTTTGAAGTCCGGACTTTAGAACATTCCAGATATTGGACGTCCAGATTTCGGACCTTGTACTGTATGTAGAGCTAAGAGAAAATCAGTTCTAAAAGAACTGATTGTGCATGTGATTCAAATGCAATTAGAGTATGAGACTTTTGCCTTAATCAATTAAACTAACCTAATCTAACCATGTGCGTCTTCTTAACGTTTAGATTCCATACTGCACTTAAATAACACAGTGCCTCATTCCTTACCTTAATCAGATGTTGTTTTACTTATGGTTTATAGTCCTTTAGAAATCCAGATTAAAAAATTTTTATCTGATATCAGCAACATGATGATTTGCTACTTTCTTTTTACCAACTAGTTTCTGACAAACAATATCATTTCTCTCTTTCCATCCTCTAAGGCATCAACCAGTTGATACAAAATTCTTCCAAAATTATTTTTTCCTGGAAATTTAAAGGAATAAGCAGTTGAGTTTAAAAACCAGTAAGTTCAGTAAGTGACATGTAATATACTCTCCAGTTCTACATGCTAGAAAGGATTGTGCTAAAAAGGTTTTGGTTCCTGGAAATTTAAAGGTAATAAGCAACTGAGTTTATAAACCAGTAAGTTCAGTAAGTGGCATGTAATATACTCTCCAGCTCTACATGCTAGAAAGGATTGTGCTGAATATATCCTTCTATTCTTCATTTAAAATTCAACTTCTTTCTTGAAAAGATGAACAAGTATTGAATTTCCACCAAGACCTTCACCATGAATCTTTTTATTGGTAGTACTGTGTGACCTAAATCTAAAAAGTCAACCTACATTCTCTTTAAATCATGAATATCCTCTCCCTTTTTCTTGCTGGTCTTTCTGCCACAGCCTGAATTATTTCAATCTTTTTTCATGGCATATCCATTTCAGAGCAAACTATCTGTGTCTAATATCACCAAAGTCTATTCTGCAGGCAGTCACCTTTTTTTTCCCTCACTAAACTAGTATCAAATTTGAAACAAAATTTTCAGATCATTTATTTTTTGCCAAATACTTTTTTTTTCAGTTTGAATGCCTTGTTTGGGATATTCGAAATATTTCTTACATTGTCCCCTTTTCAAGTTTGTCTGATGAGAAAGCACTTTTTAAGATTTTCATTTCTTTTAACGACAGGATTATTCAGGGACATAATGTAAAACTTTGAACTAATTTATTTTACTTGCTGCTTGATGTGAGAATGACGAAAGACTAATATAAGGTATAGCATAAAGTTTTACAGTGTACTATCAAAGAAACTGCTAACAATATAACAATCATGAATGGAAATTTACTGCCATAGTTTTTGGAAATTTATGAAACAAATGATGGTCCAAGGAGAGAGATGGATTGTCCAGATTAACAGAGTCCACATAAAAAAGGGTTTACTCATACTTCTCATACAGAATTCTGAAAAGCATGCAATAAACAAATTTCTTACGGAAGGTTGAAGAAGCTGCCGTCGGACGGATGGAGGAGTTGTTGGCTTTTTTCTGGGTGGCGTACTTGGAATCTTGCGAGGAGATGATGGCAGATTTCTATGTAAAGTTAGGCTTTTTACAGGAACACCAATCTTACGAACTGTTCTTTTCCCACCTAATATTTAAAATTTTATGTAACAATCAACATAAAAATACGAGGAAAAAAAATTTTTAACAACAGAACAAAAATAGTCAATATTATTATTTAGTAACAATTAATCTGCTGTTATAAGGTTTATAAAACTTAAAATCTTATATGTACAAACAAAATTATTTCAAAAGGATCACAATAATCATCAATACATATATACACACACATCCAACAAAAGGCAGAGATATTTCTTTGCCAGATTTCATATTTGAGATGTTTTCAGACATTATTATCTCAAACAGTTAAAACAATTTTTGCTCCAAAATTCATTGTATTGGCCCAAAATAAATAAATGAATAAATAAAATAAAGAATATGAAATAAAGAAGTTTCAATTTCTAGTTATAAATAAACTTACACATAAAAAAACTTTAATTTAAAAAAAAATATTTTTCACTATTTTGGTGACTTAAAATTCATTGAAATTTTGATAAGTTTTCATTCTAAAGAGAAAAATCTTGGTTTACATGAAGAATCATTTCCGATACAGCAAAGAGTTATGCAAGATATTATTTTTTTTATATCCTGCTGAAATCAAAACTGAAAAGAACAGTTATACTTACTTTCATTTATACCTGGTGAAGTTGGACTTGGATTTTTATCAACAAAAGTATCCGCTTGAATACAACTATTCAATTTTAGAGGAGCAGGACGTTGCCATGTTCGACGTCTAGATGTGTTTCCTTCCAAAACGTCAAGATTTGGAGAATCAGAATTTTCTGTTAAATTTGGTCCTCCATTTTCATTTGTTTCATTATCTTGCAGTCTTGCCATGCGCTCTAAAAATGTAAAAATTTTCAGCATTTTGTTGAAAATTACACATACTATATTATATTATTAATACAGTGAAACCTCGAATCTACCATTCTTAAAATGATCATTTTGCCATTTCTGGTTCTAATTAAATTCTATATAAATGATACTTATTCCCACACCTATCATTCCCTGAATTATCATTTTATTACGCTCATCATTCACAATTTCCTCCACGAACAGCTGTGGGAAAAAATTAATCAAAATACATATTCATTATTTATATTATTTCTATCTTTGGAGCAAGAATCTCATAATATAATAATGTCTCAATGACAGCCTTCAGTTTCATATCTACATTAGTGTCATTTGTATCAGTCTTGACACTACTACAGTATATTGATATCTGCATTAGGGGTTTACCAGCAGCCAAGTGGTTAAGATAACTGACTACTGGTAGTCTGACCTGGCTTTGAGCCCAAGTGAATGCTGTATGATTAGCAGTGGTGGTTAGAGGCTGTGGGCTGGAGCGATCTTGAGCTGATCAAGAAGCTCGAACAATCGAATCGATGCAGATGACTCGGCGAGACAGCACTGGGCACGACGGAGACATGAATGTGCGGACTACTTATCGCACTCAAACTCACATGAGATGCAGTAGCTGTAGACTCAGGGTAGAGTACAGCCTATAGTCGACAGTCGTAATGCAGATTTAAGAAAATACAGTACAATCACGTTCTAATTTAAATGTGAAATTTAAAATATTGCATTATAAACTGTAATTAAAAAACACCTCTAGGGAATTTTACTGTTTCAGTGAATAATGTAAGTTGATGACAAAAAATATTGCAGTTGAGTTTTTTTACATTACTTTTTAGGTACTTAGATTTGATATACGGAAAATCAAAGGAGGTGCACAGAAACTTTGAGAAAAGAGATAAAAACTAATGAAGGATTCTGTAAAACATTGCTTAAAAATCACAGATATGTATTACTGGATTTTCAAAACCAAAATTTTCTCCCAAGACAATTACTGCACAAACACAAGAATCCTTAGAATTTCCAATATACTGTCTCATGTGCAGGAGATAAAAATGCTTTTTTTTCCTGTACAGTGTTACCATTGCTCGCTTTGAAATTTTTGAGTTTTTTAATCAAAAACTCATAAATGCTTCACAAAATATGAAATAGATAATAAAACAAATTCTAAATTTGGCTTTCCAGATGCCCATATTTGGGTGGAGAAGTACATTATTCAAAGTTTGATGGCTCTAGGTACCGTTGTTTTATTACAATGTGAGAAACATACATACATTTACGCAGATTCTTCATTAATTTCTTCAACTATAATACAGGGCTCTAATATATAGTGGCAACAATTTAAAAAGTGATTCACCGTTTATAGTGAATCAATGCAAAATACCAAAACGAAATTAATAGCCCTTCTGGGTAATAAAGGTAACACACAAAAATGTTTATATATAAAAAAAACCTTTGGGCGTAATATAAAATCTGAAAGCTTTCAGATTTTTTTTTTTTTTTATTTTATAAAATTATTTTTATGATGATAATGATAACTTATATGTATAATAACATTTCATATGGGGTCTTAGGGCCGGCATATTTTTTCCTGCCAGAACCGATTTCTTTGGCCAGTTCGCCACAGATGATTAGTTTTCATGGTTTCCTCATATGTAACATGAATATAAGCCAATTTCCCATAGAAAGTTCACCATGGATGAATATTTCCCTTGCGTGCCTTTCCAACCTAACTTAACATCTGCATCAGTGTCAACTCTAAATCTTATTTCATTAAAAGAATGCAATAAGTTTACTTCCCTTAGTTTAGTATCTTTCCACTTTACTCATGGCAACTCTTAGTGGCATCAAGCAAATTGCTGTGAGTGCACCATTTTGAAAAATGACCTCTGGTTAGGGTAAAATTTAAAATTAATTCTGGCTATTTATATGTAAAAACCCATTGTTAATAAGACATTTATTGTTATATTTTTTTAGTTAATTTCATTTGACTCTTAATTTTTATTTCATTTCTTCTTATTATTATTTTTCATTTTATTCTTATTTTGAAATTAGTTTATCATCATGTCGGGGAGTTTTTTCCCCCATTTTTGAAATAATTTAAGGTTTAAATTCAGATATTTTAAAAAACTGATTACCAAATTTAAAACTGAAATAGGGATTTTGTTCAAAAATGTGAAAAAGAAAAAATTACCAACAATTTAGTTTTAGGAATATTAGAAATTATTTCTTATGAATTGTTAATAACTGTATACAAAAATTCCAATTCCTCTTGAAAAGTTGGGATCTTTCCGTGAAATCAACAATGATTTCAATTTATTTTTTAATTAGTTTAGCATTTATAAATTACAAATTCCTCTTTTTTTTTTATTTCCACAAAAATACATCTTTACTAACTAAATTTTGCTTCACACTCCCTATAAAATAATCTAATCATTTATAAATATATATAATTTATATCCACTAAAAATAGTCAAGTTCTAGCAAATATGTCTGCATAAATTTACAATAAAACTTTCAGTTATCTACTAAAATGCAGAGGGTGTTTAGATATTTTTCTAACAATTTCAGTACTGTTTAATTTTTAAAATGTTCGAATAGCCTTTTTTCTGGATTATAAGTCTGTATTGGAATTTGTATGATAGAACGGTTTTTCATAACTTTTCCAGGACTCCTTATTTCCTTTCCTTTCCATAGTCTATCAATACTGGTGCATTTGCATTTATAAAGAGTTCTTTTCAACAGATCAAAGGCATTTTGGTCTATAGGTGACACATCAGACAACTTTGCAGGAATACAATGAAAAGGTATACACACAATAAAATGGCAGTTAAACGAGTGGTATTGGACTTTAGTGGGCTACAGATATCCTGTATATTGTTGCTACAGAGGTATTTAAAGACTGTACTACTGATTTCTGTATTGGCATCTTCTTGTTACCAATCATTTAGCTTTAGGAATATCAGAAACAATGAATACCTTTTTTGTTATTTATATGTATACTGGGTATTGTATTTCGAGCATTCCCATGTAGAAGTAATGACCGACGGTTTTTCGTTGCCGATTAATAACGTTGCTTATTTTGCAGCAAGAAATTTTAACACCATGCATTTCACAACATTTTTGAATTTTGGAATAGGAATAATTCTCTTCAGAAAGTGTAATAACACATCTTTCAATTTCCAAGCTTGTTTTGAAAGAAGCTTGTTTTATTTTATGTTTTGAAAGAAGAATGAATATAAAAATGTCAGATTATATTTCTCATTTTAAATAAAACATTATTCCAGATATTTTTATTCCAAAACACTTGCTTTTTAAAATTTTTTTATCAAAAATTTTTTTAAAATGTACAAATACACTCCGTAATCCAAAAATCATACAAATACCTAAATATTCAAGACGATCTTTAGCCATGTTCAAGTTAGTCTTCATTTTTTCTTGAAGGCGCCTAGATCTCTCCCATGTTGGACCTATATATATATATATTAAAAAAAAAAAAAAAAAAACTTTTAGATTAACATCCATTCTTATATTTCTTAGAATAAGTATCGAAATTTCCTGTGTCACCTATAAAATACGTGACAGAGATTAAAATATAGAAACTGCAGACACAATTTAATAAAAGTTACACAGAGGTTCTTCTCATCACAAAATTAAAAAAAAAAAAAAAAAAAAAAAAGGGGGGGGGGGGAGTTAAAAATACTTTGGCACTTCTCTTTAGAGGAAACTGAGAAAATGAAATAACTGTTTGTGGAAACACAATAACTTATCAATGCATGTCTGAAGTTTTAAACTTCAAATAAAAATTATCCTCAATATAAAAATCTGTTCAAACAAAAACATTATTAAAGATATTTTGATAATATTTGGAAAATTATTAAATCTATGATTAATACAAATTTCAGCACTTGATATATTAAAAAAGCCATTTTAATGTAGTTTAGTAATATTTTTACACATGATAAAGAATGCAAGTAATCTACTTAGGCTGCTATCACACATCTGTTTGTTTCGGAAGAACAACTGTTTGAAGCAATTTTTCTGCTTTTTCACAACAGCCACACATCACTTTTGGGTTAACATGAGAAGAGGAAACTGGTTCTTCATTACAAGCAAGTTGATAACATTTGAAGCTGAGAGCTGATTGGTTGAAAATGAACAACTTGTCATTTTTTCAAAAGGAAGGAAAACAAATTGTGCGTCTTTCTTTCAACAGTAAATCAGGCAGAAAAATTATCCGAAATAGTTGTTCGTATAAAACAAAAGCATGCCTTACAGGTGGTTTTTGGTAAAAATATATTCACGGGTACCCCTTAGCAATTTTTGGTGGCACATGGATACCGAGTTTGTGCAATTCTTTGACTTGTTATTTTGGCTTGTGTAGCACCGATTTTTGCACCAAAAATCATTGCTACGCAAAGCCAAAATAACAAGACAAAGAATTGCACAAACTCGGTATCCATGTACACACAGACCTATTTTCACTTAAAAAACACCAGAGAATTGCACAGAATTGGTATTGCGCACTCCTTTGACTTTATCCATGTACACATCAACCTATTTTCACTTATAAAAACATCAGAGAGTTGAACAAACTAGGCATTGCACACTTCCTTGACTTTGTCCATGTATACATCAAACTATATTCCTTTAAAAAGTCAAAGGAGCAGCTAACAAAAAATATATGTGTCGTCCGTCACACAAAATTCCTTAACAGCATCCAAAAACTTCCTAAAATTATCTGAATTAAAATCTGTATACTGGCATCGCCACATAAATTGACAAAATAAGAGTCAAAAATATCCTCCGTAGCGCCGTTATCATCTGACATTTGACCATACGCATTTCCTTCCTACAAACAGGACATGTAATAATGGCTACTAAGTAAACCTTCATTTACACACCAGACAAGTAATGCTCTTTTCCCCTTTCTTTCCAAATCGCATAGAAACTTCAAATTAATCTTACCACATTCAGCCATTTTACCGTCTAAACCACAAAACAAGCAATATCCAACATACACCACAGACCCTTGCGAATTTACCACAATCATGCAATTGATTGCGTCACAATCTAATCAATTCCATAAAATTCAACTACTCAGACTACCGTAAATGAAACAACAACTTAGCAATAAATGAGACACCAACTAAATGATAAATGAAAAAAAAAATTCACAATAATATGATAGGTACCCTTTTCTCTACTCTAACCATGGTTTTTGTAATCCTCTTAAATTGGTGGAAATTTTGTGGTAATTGCAGAATAAAGCACATATTTCCTGTAGCAATTTTGCAAAATAATGTATTCCTGCAAATTATATTCTGTAATTTCTTCCACTGCAAGCACTGTGAATATGTGGATGTTCCACTCCCCACATATCTATAGTAGATCCTTTAGAATTGAGTTTAAAACCAAAAAATACAATAACTTACCTATAGGAACTTAAAATATAACAAAAGAAACACAAACAAAAGTGGCAATGTCGCTTGCTAAAATTGAAGAATTGTTATGCACATGTTTACAGAGTTCAACACATTCTGAAAATTTTACAATTCCTACTACGATGACTACATTAATATGCAAGTACTGAAAATTTAAATCTAATCAGTGTAAGGAAAATGATTGCATGATAAAAGATATTTTATGACTATTTTTCATTTTAGAGACACTTTTGATAAAATGCACAGAGAAATTACAATTATTTTAATTTTTGACTGCACTTTACTTGGAAATACTGAAATAAATTAGCAGTAAAGTTACTTTTAAGACTTAAATTGAGGAAAGAAAATAGAGTCTGAAATATTACTATTTGTAAGATCCTACATGTTTTAATTTTAACTTACAAATGATTTTTCAACTTCATATTTGACAACTGGAGTTGATTTTCAGTTTAGTGTACTTGTTCCAACACTAATGTTCATGTTATATGAAATAAAAAAAATAAATAATTAACATCTTTCTAATTTTTAACATTACTTGGTGCTAGCGTATGAGCAATTAGAATTACATTATTAATTGTTTTAACTTTTGTGTCAGAGTGTTACTTCGTCCCAAGTAGCGTTATATTGATCACAATGTCCCAAGTAGTGTTGCACTGACCACAATGTCCCAAGTAGGGTCACACTGACCACAATGTTTCAAGTAGGCAGTGGCATAACTAGAGCTCTTGGGCCCCTATGCAAAAAATTTACAGTATTCCCCCCCCAAAAAAAAACTGAAAGGCTTTAGATTTTAACAGTGAACCAAAAGGGTTTGCTAAGGTTGTTTATGCTTTTGCTGAGCACACAGTTTACCAGTCTGCTGTTGTACTTATTCCTGCGAATCCTTTCTTTCTTTCTTTTTGTTTTGTTCTTTTTAGCTTTATTATTAAGCATCGTTTTCTTCGTACTTACGCCACATACAGTTCAACACCAAAATCACAAAATTTTTAAAAGCTGTATAGCAGCATATATTTAGAACTCTAGGTGCAGTGTTAAATGTTGGCATATGTTTTTATATTCTTTTTAGTCTTTTACCAGTTCTTTATATCAGTATCCAGTTTTCTTAGTAAGATGGCTAACATTTTTTTTCATACTTAAGTTTTTATGTGTTAAGTTTATTTATTAAGTATTACATTCATCTAACTTACGCCATATAAAACTCAGTTCAACAGCAAAATCACAGTATATCTAAAAACAGCATATTTATATTTGCTATGTTATTTTTTAAAAAACTAGCCGCTTGTATGGCAAGCTGTATAATATAGTTGTCATAAAAAAGAAAAAGTGCATAATGATTTTAACGAGTCAGCTAATATTATTTCATAAAAATATTGAATACTTCTATTTTAACATGTTTACTTAAATCAATCATATCAGAAAGTAGTCAAAAAATGTTCTCAAGAACAGCTCTTGTTGCTTAGTTATTATTCGGTAACTTTTCAGATTAAATCTGAAAATATCTTAGGTTTTACTGAATAGCAATACAGCGACGTGAGGAAGATAAAAGAATTTTACTTCTAGCAGCGGCAGCACATTGCTTTCATAGAGACAACTTTGTTAATTAAAATTGAAAGATAAATAAATATCTTACACTTTTATCGACTGGCAGCACTCTCATGCGCCGAGATAAAATGTTTCGAACAGTATTGCCACTGATCGCTTTCAAATTAATTAGTTTTACAAAATATGAAATAAATACGAAAACAAATTGAAAATTAAAATTTGGGCTTCCAGGTGCACATATTTGGGTGAGGGACTAGGTTCTTCAAAATTTAATGGCTCTAGGTACCGTCGTTTTTTTTTTTTTTTTTTTTAATGAGAAACATACATTCATACATGCAGAATTTTCATTATTTAATTTCTTTAAAAATAATACAGGGCGATAGTATTTGACGGCAACAATTTGATAAGGGACACACCATTTATAGTGAACCAAAGCAATGTGTATTATATTAAACTGTAAATCACTCATATTGATGAATTTAATTTTTAAGTTTAATACTAGGACTGATTTTTGGAGTTTGTTAATGGAAATGCCAGTAAGAGGTTAAATATGTGGACAAAATTAAACACTCCAATTAAACTTGTGATGATACGTTTTGAAAATTGAGAACTGCAAATAAGCACGAATTCTCTTTTAAATTGCAAAGTTCGTTCCAAATTAAGTACCAGAATCATGTCTAGTTACTTCTTGATTTATATTTCAAAAATATATTGATTAACCGACCATAATATCAAAATATATAGAAACAAAATACTACACAATATAATTACCTAAATATAAAATAATACCAGCATAATAAAAAAATTATTATATCAATTTTCAGTCATTTTATAATTTAATTCTTGTAGTTTTATACCTTGTTACATATTCTGTTCCATCCATATATGCATATATACAAATAGATAGTTTAAGGATTCCATATTAACTAATACGTATATAACCAAAAATGACATCAATAATATATTTTTCAGTATGATTAACTTCATTCTGAAGAATTTTCTGCAATCTAGTTTGCATTATTTTTTAAGTCCCGAATCAAAAACAATTAAATGTTTTGCTGTGTTAAAAAATTAATAAAAAAATAGCGACCCGCAATGTATTTACGAGGGTTGGAACTTTAATAGTGGCAACTATTTATTTACAAGGAATACAAAAGTGATTCATGTCACCATGTTTTACAGTCCTTCAATATAGTCGCCAGCATTGTGTACAACCCGTTTCCAACGATGTGGAAGTCGCAGAATACCTGTAGCAGCGCCTGTTTTGTTGATAGTTTGAATGCACCGGTCTGCCGCAAGAATCTCAGGAACAGTTTGGAAGCGAGTGCCACGAAGTGGTTCCTTCATCTTAGGAATTAAGTCATAGTCACAAAGGCTTAGATATGGGGAGTATGGTGGATGGTAAAGTACTTCCCAGCCCCATCGCTTGAACAAATCAGTCACAGCTTGCGCTGCATGCAGCCGAGCATTGTCATGCAAAATGA